CCCCCCCCCCTTTTTTTTTTTTTTTTTTTTTTTAGTTTTTGCTCTAGGGCACATGCACTTGCCAGAGAGAGAGAGACAGAGAAAGAGGGAAACCGAGAAATCACCTCCCAGGGGCATGGCCATACTGCAGTCCTTTCTCTTCCCGTCTCCTCTTGGGATTTTGGGCATGCACGCACATGTGCCTGGTGTGAGTTTTAAGCCTCAGGCCCAGATCTCAAACCACACAGCGGACCATGTGGGACCCAGTGCTTTAGCCACCACACCACTGTGGATTCCAGCTTTATCCTCCCCTTTTAACAAATAGATACTCATTTATTATTACTTGTTAGTGTGGGGGGCCGGCAAATGGCATAGTGGTTAAGGTGTTGGACTCCCGCATGGCTGACTGTGATTCCAGTCCCGGACCTGACAGCTTGCTTTCTCACTTTCTCTATCTCTCTCTATCTCTCTCTGGTCTAATTAAAATCATAATAATAACAAATGGAATTAAATAATTTTTATGAATAATTACTTGTTAGTGTCATTATTGGTGTTAAATAATGCATGTCCAAAATCCACAGTCAGGAACCTAAAATCCAGCCAACTTCCAGGGGCTTTTTAAAACATTTTTGCCAGAGAACATGAAGGCTCACCAGAGAGAGAGAAAAAAAGAGAGGGAAAATGAGAGAGCACACCCCCCTCTCTCCCTTCTCTCCCCAGGGGCATAGCCATGCCACAGTCCCTTCTCTTCCATTCTCCTCTGGGGACTGTAGACACACAAGCACATGCACCTGACATGCTTTCTAGGCCACCAGGTCTGGAACTCAAACCGCACAGTCAGCCAGGTGGGATCCAGCCTCCCTAACCACCATGCCACCGGCTGGCCCTACCCGCTCCTTTAACAAAAGAGGGCCGCTGAGACACTGAGAGTGAGTGTGTGGCACTGATACCAAGTACTACGAAATGATCCGGAGCTTCTGTCTACTGAAGCCAGGTCACGTGGCCACGGGTTTTCTCAGCGAGGTCACGACCAGCCCATCAGACACGGCTCTCGACCTGCGAGCTCTCTGCCACCCGACGCAAAGCCACGCAACCCCATCATCTGCGTCTTCCCGCCAGCTCTCAGGCTGTCTTCAGGATGAATTCCAGGGGCCAGCGGGTGGCGGCGTGATTAAGGCACTGGACTCCCATGTAGTGGACTGCGGTTTGAGTCTCAGACCCAGCTCCTTGAAACTCACACCAGGCCGTGTGCGTGCGTGCCCAAGATCCCAAGAGGAGAGTAGAGGAGAAGGGATTGTGGCTTGGCCATCCCCCCACCACTGCCCCAGAGGGGATTTCTCACTTTCTGTCTCCCTGTCTCTCTGACAAGTGCATTAGTCATATAGGGGGGAAAACCTCTAATATATATGTGTATACACACACACACATGTAGATACAGATATGAATTTCTGGACCACTGAGCGCTACTGAACACACTGGCTTGTGCTCGGTTTCAGATGGCTACACCACCGACGACATTGAGTTTTACTGGAACGGAGGAGAAGCAGCCGTAACCGGAGTCAATAAAATCGAGCTTCCTCAGTTTTCAATCGTGGACTACAAGATGGTGTCCAAGAAGGTGGAGTTTACAACAGGTCAGGCCGTCGCCCCGCACGGAGCTTCGGGTGCTGTGCGGGAGGGCTGGCTCTGCGGGGACGGTGACCTGCTTTTTTCCTTTGTCTTTTCTTTTCATCTTCTTCTTTTCTGAACTCAGGGGCATACCCGCGACTGTCCCTCAGTTTCCGCCTGAAGAGGAACATCGGCTACTTCATCCTGCAGACCTACATGCCTTCCACGCTGATCACCATCCTGTCCTGGGTGTCTTTCTGGATCAACTACGATGCCTCTGCAGCCAGGGTGGCACTAGGTAAGGCACTCCGGCCCTTTCCAACAAACAACCGATTTTAAGGTTATAGGCATGAGCTCTCTGACAGCAAGCCGAAGAACTGCATTACCTCATGGTGCGTGAATACGAGACGTCTAAGCGCAAGCGTGTTCACAATGAATGTTTTACAATGTAATATCTTTTTAGGGTTTTACCCAGGAAAACAAAAATCTTAGAGTACATTCTGTGTCGTGTAAGTGCTTTGCAAAGTATAGTTTTTATTTTTTATCACACTTAATTGTCCTGACTTTATGAAGACGTCCTCTTTGATCCGATTTTATTACAGTGGAAACATTTACAGTGCACTATTTTCTTTTTTTCGCCTCTAGGATCAAATAATGAGGCAGATCTGCCCAAGACCAGGTCCACCAGACAGACCCTACCCAGTCTAACTTTCTAACTTTAAAGTCTGAACTATGGCTTTTCAGCTTCCAGCCATTATTCAGGTGGGGCAAGATGAATTCTGGACTTCGTTCCCCTAAGAATAAACCACGTTTTATTCTGTCTCGATCCCCGATCATTCACAGAGCCGATGAGTTGTCTGTGCCTTTCTAAGTACGATGAGCTCCATTTAAGGAAGACTCAGCTTGGTATGAATGAACTTTAACATTCAGATGATAGTATTTCCAACCATCGACATAGCTCGTTAACAGTCAAGAGGGAGCTTTCTGCAGCGTCATTTGAAAATAATGCACTGTAGGGACCAGCAGTTAGCGTAATGGCTATGTCGCTGGACTCTCACATAGTCGACCGCAGTTCGAGTCCCAGACCCGGTGGCTTAAACTCACGCCAGGTGTGTGTGCGTGTGTGCCCAAGATCCCGAGAGGAGAATGGAGGAGAAGGGATTGCGGCGTGGCCATCCCCCCTGGGGGGTGATTTCTCACTTTCTGTCTCTCTGTCTCTGTCTGTCTGGTGAGCGCACGCGCCCTATAGCAAAAACCTCTCCAAAGGAAAAAAAAAAAAAAAAGAAAGCGTGTGTCCCTCACACGCATAGGTCGCACATATTATTTGAGTGTGACTGCGGGTGTGTGCACACACCGTGGGAAGGAGAAGGCACCGGGTGACTCACACCGGGGAATAGCTAGGAGGCTCACGAGCTGTGCTTCTCTTTACCCCTCCAGCCTCAGACCAGTGCTACACTGAGAGGGAATATCAGAGGGGTCAACGTACAGAAGTGCTGGCTTAACCCATCGCTTGGAATGTAAAACCTGAGATCTTTTAAATACATGCGATTTTAAAGGACATTTATGTACTAATCCCTTTTTCTTAAAAAATTAAACCAAGGAGAGCCAGAAGATGGTATGGGGGATAAGGCACTGGATCCCATATGGCCAACTCTGTGGTTCAAGTCCTGGTCCTGGCTTGTCCAAAATCCTGAGAGAGAATGGAGGAGAAGGGATTGTGGCGTGGCCATCCCCCCCCGGGGGGGGGGGAGGATTTCCTCTTCGCTCTCTCTTTCTGTCTCTCATTCTCTGATGAGTACATGCACCCTATAGCAAAAAATATCCTAAATAAATAAGTAAATAAACCAAAGAAAGGCAGCAGGAGTGCCAAGAATGAATTTGTCAACGGAGTGTTCCTTTCTGTAGAGCACGTTACCTAGAAATCTACCAAGTTAAATGTAAAGTGGGTAAGACCACGCATGATGGCACTTTATACCCAGTCTAGCACACTCAGTTCTTCTCTGAGTTGAGTCATATTATGGCATCTTGACTTTCCATATCTGTTCTTCTAAAAGTTCATCAGAGAACACGTATATCTAGAATAATCTTATAGACAAGGTAATACTAAGCTATTTTGCTTTTTTTCACTTTGCTACCTTCTGTTCCCTATCAAGTTCTCATCTCTCTGCTTATTTTAAATATAGTTGAACATTTGCTCGCTGTTTTGACTAGGTGACGTACAGAAAATAACTAATCTTGGAATTCCAGTTTACTCAGCTATGAAACACTATACTTGCCTTCTACTCGGAAGGCTGTTACAACAGCCATATAAGATCATCCACAGCTGTAAGTCCCAGTGTACAGCAGTCAACATCCGCACTGTGACACCAGCTGTCGCCACAAGATGCCAGCCTCCTTTCTAGTCCTTGTTTTTCCCTAGTCAGTGCAATACACTTATAATATGGCCACACAAATGTTATACTAACAAGGATGCCTTCTGTAACAAAATAGCTGATACAGGATCTGCCTTTCATAAGCTTACAGTCTTAAATTTCCTTTTGTTTATTTAAGAGAGATTTTTTGCTATAGGGCACATGTGGTCATCGGAGAAACAGAGAGAGACAGAGACACAAAGAGAAAAATCACCCCACAGGGTGGATGGCCACACCACAATCCCTTCTCTATTCTCCTCTTGGGACTTTGGGCATGCACACACACATATACACGCTCAGCGTGAGTTTCAAACCACCAAGTCTGGGATTCGAACCACGGTCGACTATGTAGAAGTCCAACGATGTCACCATTATGTCATCTGCTGGTCCCAGTCTTAAGCTTCTTTAACAAAACCAAGTTCGATGTTTTAAGAGATCTTTTCTGACATCAAAGAACTAATTTATTCTAGATCTAGAATGAAGAAAACAGAGGTAAAATTTGGAACACCAAAGCAAGATTATATTATATCTAAGACATGCACAGATACTTGCTGCAAATCACACACTCTCTGATACGTTTCATTTTTGGCGATCTCCTGCTGTGCATGGTGCATTACTGTTAAGATGCAATGCTGACCTCATACTTGAGCATGTATAGTAAATTCCTGGAATGCAGCTCATCTCCTCAAACTGACCACTGGCTTGCAGTAGGGAAGGTACTGCTGTGAAGACTGGTGTCACAAGGACCGTTCCAGGAGGGAGGTGAGTGAGGCGCTGAGAGAAGGAAGCCGTGGCCACGTGACAGAGTGAGGGACATTTGACAGCTTCCAATGGGATTTTGAGCTGCCTTTCCATGCGCTTTTCTTTTCTCTTTGTGCAGTTTTTTAAATGTCGTCACCCTCCACTAACTGCACCTTCTGTTTTGTGATTCACTGGTGCACTATGTCGGGCCCCTGCTGCTTTGCCTTTCCAAATGTCTGCCATTTCTGCCCGATGGCTATGATGCTGTGTCACCCTTCGGGGAAGCAAGTGGCCTCTTGCTCTAGAAAGGGCAGCCTCGCCATCAGCGTCCTTTGTCACTCTGTCTTGCAGGAATCACCACAGTGCTGACCATGACAACCATCAGCACGCACCTCAGGGAGACGCTGCCGAAGATCCCTTACGTCAAAGCGATTGACATTTACCTGATGGGCTGCTTCGTCTTCGTCTTCCTGGCTCTGCTGGAGTACGCCTTCGTAAATTACATCTTCTTTGGGAAAGGCCCTCAGAAGAAGGGAGCCGGCAAGCAAGACCAGAGCGCCGAGAAGAACAAACTGGAGATGAATAAAGTCCAGGTACTGTATGAGCCTCCTCGCAGTGCTCTCCCCAAACTCATAGCAGCGTGGTGTCCAGGGCGCTCCTAAGCGAACAGCCTACTGATAAAATATTAGTTCATCAGGACCAGCAGATAGAGTAATGGCTATGTCGCTGGACTCCCATGTAGCTGACCATAGTTCAAGTCCCAGACCCGGTGGCTTAAACTCACGCCGGGCGCATGTGCGTGCGTGCCTAAGATCTTGAGAGGTTTAATAAGATTCAACCAGCCCTTCATTTTACATACTTGGGAAGTGGGGATTACAGGAATTAGGCTGAAAGTTATCTAGATTAATAACTTATGTGGGCTTGGAATGTAACCGAAGTCCATTGGTATTTATTCCTAACTGGTTGTAAACTGTGTGTAGAAGAAGAAGGCCAGTTTTCTTGGTAAGGAGATAAAAGAACTACCGTGAATGCGCTCTGCACTTCTGCGTGGATATGAAGCCATATAGGACAGTGGTCATGATGACGCTGGAATCCAGCTGCCTGGGTTTGCCTCCCAGTCCTGCCACCTACCTGTCCGTATAATTCCAGCCAAATGAGTCTATTTGAGCCTTTACCTAACTTCTGCTATCAGTGTCCTCCTTTATAAAAATAATCATTATTGGGAACCAGTAGTTAGCATAATGGCTATGTCTCTGGACTCCCACGTAGTCGGCTGTGGTTCGCGTCCCGGACCCGGTGGCTTAAAACTCATGCTGGGCGCGTGTGCGTGCGTGCCCAAGATCCCGAGAGGAGAATGGAGGAGAAGGGATTGTGGCGTGGCCATCCCCCCTGGGGGGTGATTTCTCACTTTCTGTCTCTCTGTCTCTCTCTGTCTTTCTGCTGAGTGCACACACCCCATAGCGAAAACCTCTCCAAAATAAATAAATAAATAAAAATAGTCCTTTTTCTAATGTACCTATGTCACAGAGTTGTAAGGACTAAATGAGGTTGGAAACCAGTCTAGTGTTTGAAACAACACCTAGGACGCAGCACATACTCAGTCAGTATTAGCTGTTAGCATTATATACACGGTACTGCTACCATTTGCCTTCTTTTCTTCTTAGTGGTAGATCTTTTCACCCGGGGTTTCACTGCATGAAACTAAAATTAATGGTTTGTTTATTCTTTAAAAACATCTCTAAAAGGCCAGCATGTGGTGTGGTGGTTAAGGCTCTGGACTCCCCCATGACCACTCACGGTTCAAGTCCTGGACCTGATGGCTTACTTCCTCATTTTCCCTCTATCTCTGGCGAGTGCATATGCCCTATAGCAAATTAAAAAATAATAATAATGGGATCAGCAGTTAGAGTAATGGCTATGTCGCTGGACTCCTATATAGTCAGCCGCGGTTCAAGTCCTTGACCCAGCAGCTTAAACTCATGCTGGGTGCATGTGCGTGCGTGCCCAAGATTCCAGGAGGAGAAGAGACGGGAAGGGATTGCCGCGTGACCATCCCCCCCCCCAGGGGGGTGATTTCTCACTTTCTGTCTCAATCAATTTATTCAGATATAATATAAAGATTATAAATAAATGAATAACCCTAACCAAGCATTGTGGGCTTTTGCCTTGATTTCACACCAAGACATCACAGAACTTTTCTAAGGCACTAAGGGACAAAGAAAGACAGAGGGGAGCTTAATGTCATACAGACTGAGATGTACAAGACACGTCTCCGATGAGAACTCAGTGCCAGGCTAGCAGGAAAAATGTTGCCAGCCAGCTGACCTCTATTTCATAAATAAATTGGGGCCAGCAGTTAGCGTAATGGCTACGTCACTGGACTCCCACTTAGTCAACTGCGGTTCGAGTCCCGGACCTGGTGGCTTAAACTCACGCCAGGTGTGTGTGCATGCGTGCCCAAGATCCCGAGAGGAGAATGGAGGGAAGGGATTGTGGCGTGGCCAACCCCCCTGGGGAGGGGGGTTTCTCGCTTTCTGTCTCTGTCTCTGGCAAGCTCACATGCCCTATAGCACCCCCTCTCAAAAAAAAAAAAACACTCCCAAGAAATAAAAAAAAAAAGATGTGAACCAGCGGGGCTCCAGCAGAAACCCATCGTAGTGATCCGAGGAGTGAACATGCGGATGAGTGCCCGCAGGGTTCCCAGCAATCTCAGGAAGATGTGAGTCCCAGAAAAGACAGGATTTGAGTGTGCGCTTCCCTTCAGCCCAGTGCTGAGCACTGATAATACACAGGTAAATCGTCAAGGAGACAGATGGAGAAAGTAAAGGCTGAAAACAAAAAATGAACAGATTTTAGTGCTGGCCACTAAACAGGAGTCAGAATTAAGTTAGAGTTCAGCTGCTTTAAGGGGCGTGGTAAACACAGTTGGCTTTCTATTAACTTTCCAAACATTGTCTTACGTCGGACTCATTTACAAGAGGAGAGGATTGCTTTCAGGTGAAGGGTAGAACTAAAACTCATCCTAACAAGACATGGAATATGTATCACCACACATGCTGGGTGATATTTTGGTAATGTGACTACCAAAACAAAGCCCAGTATACTTCAGGGTGGGCACAAGAAGCCAGAGTCCCTATGGAGCAGCGTGCAATGTATCTAGCACATCATCGAGAATTACTAGAAGGGAGAAGAAACAGGAGGGTGTGATCATAGTCAAGAGGAAAACATTTAGGCAGCAGAAACCTAGCTGCAAAATTCTCAAGTGCTGTATTAGAAGATAAGTACTATGACTAATTACAAAGTCCACAAGACATAACGCATCATACAGTAAACGATGCATGATTCCATTTATGTAACACTTGTGAAATAACAAAATTGCAGAGATGGAGAACGGGAGTTAGTGAGGGAAATGTGGGACGAGTGTGTTTGGTTTTAGCAGCGCAGCAGGGGGACGACCTTTGCAGTGGTACCACAGGCCAGTATCCTAATTACACCGGCAGTTACATGGATCTACACGCGTAATAAAATTACACAGAACTAGGGGCCAGCAGGTGGCATGGTGGTTAGGGTGCTAGACTCCCACGTGGTCGACCAAGGTTTGAGTCTCAGACCAGACAACTTCATTTCTCACTTTCCCTCTCTGTCTCTATCTGGTCACATTTTAAAAATAATAATGAACAAAAATAAATAATTCTTTAAAATTAGAATTGTTAATAATTGTTTAAAAATTAGAACTGCACACACTTCATACCAATGTCAGTTTTCTACTTTTGAAATTGTACAGTGTTGGAACCAGTAGTTAGCATAATGGCTATGCCGCTGGACTCCCATGTAGTCGACCGCGGTTTGAGTCCCAGACCCAGTGGCTTAAACTCACTCCAGGCGCGTGTGCATGCTTGCCCAGAATCCCCAGAGGGGAATGGAGGAGAAGAGATTGCGGTGTGGCCATCCCCCCTGGGGGGTGATTTCTCGCTTTCTGTCTCTCTGTCTCTCTGACTTTCTGGTGAGGTCATGTGCCCTATAGCGAAATCTCTTAAAAAAAGAAAAAAAGAATGAAAGTGTGCGGTGTTAAGTGAGACACAGTCAATGGGAGAAACTGAGTGAGGGGGACACCAGACGTCCTGTGCTGGGACGTCCTGAAAACCTATAACAATTTTAGAGTTAAAAGTTTAAAATAAAGTCATTATGGGGCCAGCAGGTGGCATGGCATTTAAGGCACTGGACTCTCACAGTTCGAGTCCTGGATGTGGTGGCTTGCTTTCTCTCTCTCTCTCTCTCTCTCTCTGCGTGTGTGTGTGAGTGTGTGTGTGTGAGTGAGTGTCTCTCTCTGTCTCTCTCTGGTAAGCAGGTATGCCCTGTAGCAAACTTCAAAATAATAATGATAAATAAAATTTAATAAATATTCTAAAATAAATAAATAAAGTCAATATGAAAAGATCGATGTGTAGTATATAGACAGAGTTTTGAAAAATAGCTGACACTCTGAAAAAGGCACAAGGACATCAAGGAGCTGCCAATGTCCTTTGATGGAGGAACCTGACGATGTGCACAGCAAGGGGAGGGCACCCGGGCTTCTCCCAGCTGCTCGCTCACGCCAGGTCTTGCCATGCATGTCACTATTTTGGGGCTGCCTCATGGGCACCCCACTTTCAGCTCAAATTCCATATTACTATTAGTCGTTCTTACAGGAGCCTATGCTTTTCCAACAGAGGATTTCCACAGTAGTGAACCCATGTGGATTTGCTTAGCTATTTCTTAATACTCATTTCTCTTCTCAGACCACAGTTTCCAAAACTGGGCCGCTTGCCTGCTGTTTACTGTGGCTTCGGCAGAAAATATAGAATATACTGAATACTTGCCGAATGAGCAAATGAAAGCTCAGGAGCCCTTCTCCATGGAAGATATGTTTTAGGGGCCAGCAGGTGGCACGCGGTTACGGCACTAGACTCCCCCTGGCCGCCCGCAGTCTGAGTCCCTGACCTGGTGGCCTGAATGTCACGCTGGGCACGTGTGTGCCCCAAACCCCTGGAAGAGGAGGGACTGTGCCATTTCTCATTCTCCTCTCTCTGTCTCTCTCTGTTGAGCATCAACACCCTATGGCAAAAACCTAAAAAAAAAAAAAAAAAAAAGATACGCTTTAGATACTACATAACACACTGAGTATCACATTACAATGTTTCCTAAGACCCTCATGCCTCTGTTTTTAACAGTAAGAAAAGGGACGGCGCAGTCCCCGGGCAGTCCTCAGGCCGCCTTCCTACGCCCCAACTTGTTCTGTTCGAAGGTTTTGTGCTACAGGCCTTAGTGTACTGTGAAATCTCTTTCAAAATTCTCAGTACCACCTCTAATTTCAAATGACAGCTGAAGGCCTCATGAGCCTATGCATTTAATTCTTCCATGAGCAAGAGGCAGAGCAGAGACAAAGACAGGATAGAGGCAGGACAGAGGCAAAGGCAGAGCAGGGCAGAGGCAGAGAGAGCAAAGCAGAGCAGGGCAGAGCAGAGCAGAGCAGAGCAAGACAGGGCAGGACAGGGCAGGGCAGGGCAGGGCAGAGCAGAGCAGAGCAGGACAGGGCAGGACAGGGCAGGGCAGG